GGTCTCGAACCTGCAGGCTCAGGCAATTCATTCACCTCGGCCTCCCAAAGCGTGGGATTACAGGCTGAGCCACCGAGCCCAGCCCAGAGTCTATATTCTTAACCACTGTGCAATATGGCCTCCAATTGCTGTAGGCTAAAATTCAAATTACTTCTCTGTAAATATCACAAGTGGCCCACTCTAGTGCTCCTTTTCACCTACCTCTGCCTCCGAAGCAGTGGTCTCCTTTGCAAGTATTTACATATGTAAATTAGCCACCTGGCCTGATTTGCCAGTGGTCCATTATCATCAGTTATTGTATTACTTATCTGTTGCTGTATAACAAATTACCCCCAATGTAGTAGCTTAAAACAAACACGTATTACTTCAAAGTTTCAGGGAAAATCACATGGGTGGTCTTGGCTCAGAATCTGTCATGGATTTGAGTCAAGATGCCATCTGGGGCTGCAGTGCTCTGAGGGCTTAACGGGGGCCAGAGCATCCTTTTCCAAGATGGCACACTCAAGTAGCTATTAGCTAGAGGCCTCAGTTCCTCATCCACAGACCTCACCGCACAACACAGCAGTTGGCTTCTCCCAGAGCAGGTGATTCAAGAGACAGCAAGAGAGCACGCAGGAGGCTATAGTCTCCGAAGTGGCACACCATCACTTCCGATTTCTTCTTTTAATTAGACACGAGTCTCTAAGTTCAGCCCACACCCAAGAGGAAGGCAATTAGGCTTCACCTTTTGAAGAGAGAAATGTGAAAGGATTTGTGGACATGTCTTGCAGTCACCACAGTTGTGGTTACGTTTATTTCTCAAGGCAGATGCTCACACACTCAGGGACGGAAGGCATTTTCCAGATATTCCGAATGATCAAAAATGAGTAACTGACCAGGGGCTGAGATCAGGCCCTGAGGCTCTCTTTGGAACCCCCTACTCACTTGCCAGGGGACCTTGGGCAAGACGTGCAACCTCTTCGACTTCATGTCTTCTGTAAAATAAGGATAACAATACCTGTGGTAGTTTCATAAGATAGGCCCCTGCTATCCTATTGGTGTCATGAGAAGTTTGGCCTAGCACAGAGAATTTCAAACCTCTGCAGATTTAGGACCTCAAAGCGATGCCATAGAGAGGTTGCGGAGGCCGAGAGAAGGCCAGGCAGGCCAGGTTCTTCCCGCTCCACCTGGAACCTGACCTCTTCATCTGAGGAAGGTCTTTCTGAGACAATTCCATTTCATCCACTTCCCTGGGCTTCTCACACGAAGATGAAGTCCTTCAACTTAAAAAGTAGGATGAGCCAGGCTCAGTGGCTCAGCCTGTAATCCCGCGCCTTTGGGAGGCTGAGGTGAGTGGATTGCCTGAGTCCGCGGGTTCGAGACCCGCCTGGGCAACTTGGTGAGACCTCATCTCTACAATAAATCAAAAATTAGCCGGGTGTGGTAGCGCACGCCTGTAGTTCCAGCTACTTGGAAGGCTGAGGTGGAAGGATCGCCGGAGCCCAGCAGGTTGAGGCTGTGGTGGCCGGGAACGGCCACTGTACTCCAGTCTGGGTGACAGAGTGAGACTCCAACTCAAAAAAAAAAAAAAAAACACAGGATGTCTGCCGGGTGTGGTGGCTCATGTCTGTAATCCCAGCACTTTGGGAGGCCGAGGGTCTCCCCGAGGATCACTTGAGCCTGGGAGTTCAAGACCAGTCTTGAACTGGCAATATAGCAAGACCTCGTCCCTACAAAAATAAATAATTTTGCCTGACTCTGGATCGCCTGAGCCCAGGAGGTCAAGACTGCTGTGGTGAGCCATGATCCTTCCTCTACACTCCTGCCTGGGTGACAGAGTAAGATCTCAACTCAAAAAAAAATGCCCACTGGCATATGATACATCCACACATACAGGTATGTATGTGGATGCTCCCTTGTAAAGCCCTAGAACTCTAACCCAGTTATCCACACCCTCAATTCCCATGGCCCCACTGCTCTTTTTCAGAATGGGGTCATATCCCTCATTGACTGCACCTTGTTAGAGGAACCAGAAAGCACAGAGGAGGAAGGTAAGCATGAAATTGCACATGTGCACGTGTGGGCTCACACCCACATGCACACACTTGCCCTAAAAGGCCAGGCCCAGCACTGGTGTTTGTTGGGAGGAAGGGAAGATGCCAATATGTGGGCCCCTCACCTGGTCAGGAAGAAGCCAGAGTTCAGTCTTTAAAGAAAGAGCTCCCTGGCCCAGCACTGGAGTGAAAGGCTCCAGGTAAGCTGTCTCCCATATTTACTTATCCCTTGGGGACAGGCTCCACTTGGGGACCCCCACATGTCCCATTCTTTCCCAGCATGTGGCTCCTTGAGCCCTTGTGCAGGTAACTCACAGATGCATGAATGAGGGGTGCTCACGGAGATGCTGTGACCCCCAACCCAGTGGCACCAACTGGTCCAGGGGACCAAGGAGTTTGGAAGGAACCAAGAAGGTGGGTCAAGGCTATCAGTGCTGGGCCAGGGAGTGGAGAGACCCCAGGCAGGTCCCACCTGACCCACCTTCTTGGTTCCTTGGTGTGGGGTGGTCACTGATAGAGGCATTGCAGGGCTGAGGGTCCCGAAAGAGAGGACCATCCCCCGCAGTAGCCAGGAGGGGAGGCAAGACCTCAGGGAAGAAGGGCCTCAACACACCGGACGGGGCTGAGCAGGGAGTTCGGGAGAGCAGAGTCCTCAGTATGGCAGGGGAATCCCCTCCATGGGCATCAGACTGGGGGATGGGGCCATTCTTTTAGGTTAGATCAGGGGCCACTACTGTCTCTTGCTGGTGCCACAGTTGGTCTTCATCTCCTGTCTTCTTGGACCCCAAGCCAAAACTGAGAGACGCCTGTGTGCTCTGCCCCGTAAAGACACCAAGAGATCTATGACCTTTGTCCTTCCCTAGACTGGGCCTCCATGGGGGGCCCTGGGTCTGAGCTTTCTTAGTGTCCCAGCATGGCGTGAGTGTGAGCATGGGCTTGGGGGTGGCTACATGCACACTTGGCACTCACACACACACACACGCACACGCACACACACACATTCACACGTACACCTGTTCAGCCTCCTGCAGCTAGGCCCTGCCCACCTTGGGTCCCTCCACTCCCCAGCCCAGCACTGATAGCCTTGATCCGCCTACTTGGTTCTTTCCAAACTCCTTGGGCCCCTGGGCCAGTTGCCGCCATTGGGTTGGGGGTCACAGTATCTCTGTGAGCACCCCTTGTTCATGCATCCATGCGTTACCTGCACAAGAGCTCACAGGGCCACAGGCTGGGAAAGGATGGGACATATGGCGGTCCCCCAAGTGGAGCCCAGAATTTCCCAAGGACAGGTAAACATGGGAGGCAGCTTACCTGGAGCCTGTCACCAGCACAGGCTTCCTTCATCTTGGTGGGTTCCCAGGAAAGCCCAGACTCCAGTGGAATCTTCAGACCCCAAAGCTCTCTTCCCCCCGGACCCCGGGAGGTAGGAACATGGCACAGCATCCCCCTTCCCCTGGAAACACTTCCACACACAGACACCACTTCTCAGGGAAGCCAGCATGAGCCCAGCAGAAGGGTCTTCCCTGCACCTAGACAGGAATCATTCAATTCTCCAGTGTCAGAACTGGAAAGGACAGGACCTGGGAGAACTCAAGTCCCACCCCCATTGTACAGGAGGACATCTGGCACCCAGAGGGGGGAGGGCACCACCCTGAGGTGGTACCGCCAGGGACGGCAGAGCAGACCCCCCTCGCCTTCCACTCCAGTCAGTGTGCCCCCAGTTAACGTAGGTGCATGGGAAGGAATCCCTAAACTGTGAGCCTCATCCTTCCAAGTAAACTGCTTTTGAGAGTTCAAGGAACATTCAGGTTAACAGCAGTACTAAAAATACCTGGAACTGACCTTTGCTTTGGGGAGCTCTAAGCGGAACTAAGTATCCAGCCCAGCCCATCAAAGTTTAAGATCTGGAAGTTCCTTGGTTGGCCCGGTACCGCCAAGGGATAGCAGGAGGGCCAGGTTGTGAGGCCTGTTCTGGTCCTAGCTTGGCCTCTGCCCTGATGGGGGTCTTGGTCAAGCCCTCACGGGAAATCTTTGGTATCAGGAGGGCAGAGGGCAGACTCTGTGGTCCCCAAAGGCTCTTCTAGCTCAGGATCTGCATGGTTGTAAGCTGATTCTGTACTCCCAGCCTTAGTTTTTCCATCTATGAAATGAGGTGTCCCCACTTAGGAAAACAATGTTCTGAAAGCAGCGAAGACTGTCCTGGTGCCTTCCCAATGCAAAGGCTCCATCAGCACATCAGACAGGGCCGTTCATGCGTTTTCCCACTCAGAAAGGGCCCACACTCATGCTCCTAACTTCATGTTTTGCAACTGGAAGCCAAAGGATCCGGCCAAGACATCGACCACTTGGATTTTAAGATTGGAGTGGAGCCGAAGGATTCCCCGCCCTTCACTGTCATCCTGGTGGCGTCGTCCAGACAGGAGAAGGCAGCGTGGACAAGTGACATCAGCCAGGTGAGCAGCGGCTCCTGTTCCTGGGAGCAAGCGACCCCTCGTGCCTAACCTGGTTGGGGGCTGCATTGCTCTACAGGAAGAGACTCAAAAATAAACTTAGGTCCACAGCCCTGACCACAGCTGCACTCAGCAGGTCTATCCCCTGTATAGTCCCTGGGCCACCCTCAAGGTATGGTCTGGTAACCCCTTGCTTCTGAACCACCTGGTACCGTTTGTTTTTTTGTTTGTTTGTTTTTTGTTTTTTGAGTTGGAGTCTCACTCTGTCGCCCAGACTGGAGTGCGGCAGCCTCAACCCACTGGGCTCCGGCGATCCTTCTGCCTCAGCCTTCCAAGTAGCTGGAACTACAGTCACGTGCTACCACACCCGGCTGATTTTTTATTTATTGTAGAGATGAGGTCTCGCCAAGTTGCCCAAGTGGGTCTTGAACCCATGGGCTCAGGCCATCCACTCACCTCAGCCTCCCAAAGGCGCGGGATTACAGGCTGAGCCACCGAGCCCAGCTTCACCGTGATTTTTAAAACTTCATCTTCCTTGGCTGGGCAGAGGTGGTACACACCTGTAATACCAATACTTTGGGAGGCTGAGACAGGAGGATCGCTCAAGCCCAAGAGTTTGAGACCACCATAGGCAACATAGCAAGACCTTATCTCTACAAAACAAAACTAGTCAGGTATGGTAGTACCTGTAGTCCCAGTACTTGGGAGGCTGAGGCAGAAGGGTCACCTGAGCCCAGGAGCTTGAGGCTACAGGGAGCCATGATCGTGCCACTGCACCCAGCCTGAGCAACAGAGTGAGACCCCCAACTCAAAAAATTCAGCTTTCTGGGCTCTGCTCCCTTGCAACAGCCCCTTCCCCCCTTCTCGCGCCAGACCTACTAAATCCAAGTGGCCAGCTTGTGGCCTGGGACTCTGCATTTTAGTACATGCCCCAGGTCATTGTTCTACACAGAAAAGGCCGGGCACCACTACTCAAGGATGTCAGGGGTTGCGGATCTTCCGCAGTGAGAACAAGGCCCTGAAAAGCTAGGGCACCATCTCCAGTGAGTCCAGGCAGCTCCCTGAGATCAAACCCAGCGTCAGCAATGCAGACAGACGATTTAGCCTCCGCCTTTGCCTGCTGTGAGCACTGGGGTCTTTAGCCCTGTTTGGAGCATTTACCAGGAAACGTGGGCTTCCCTAGGTACCAGCGGGCAGATGCAGAGGGCCTTTGGGCACCCAGGGTACAAGGGGCGAGACCTGAGTCTGGAGAGAGGCTGTCAGCAGCACCAGGGTTCAGGCCCTCCCTGGGCTCAGCCAAGGTCTGTGACGATCAGGGACGGCCCATCCCAGCCACAGAGGAGCCTGCGGTGTCCTCTCTGCGTGGTGGGGTGGTGGAGAGCAACCGACAGCCAGGGAAGGGAACGGGAGACTGGTGTTCCCAGAGAGGAGGGGAGACCTGTGCCTGGGAACAGGAAGAGACCCTGCAGTGCCTCCCTCTGTCGTCCTCCCAAGCCCCTGTCCTTGCACCCCACTTTCAGCTTCCCCTCTGGCCTGCCTGTCCATCACGCAGTCCTGGAAGAGTAAGATAGGACGGGAGAACACACAGCACGTGCCGGTTCTTTCTGAGTCTCACCAGTGGTCTCCGTGCCATGGAGAGCACCGAACACCCCGAGCTTGGCCCTTTCACGTCCCCCATGAGCCACGGCTGTCACAGGCCCGGCCCGCTGGCCTGAAGGGCACCCACCGGGCCTCTGCCCTTCTGGCGGCTGTTGCAGATGCCAGTAGACGGGGGGTTCTTCAGCCCCTCCCCCAAGCCCCTCCACTGCGTCCATAATGCTCCCAGCCCCTGGCCAAGGTTCCTTCATTATGAAAAAAGCTAGAGAGTGTCCGAGGGGCGGGTTGGAGAAGTTGGCTGGGAAATGCAAGAGGGAGAAACCTCCCTCTGTGGAGCCTTCTTTGGGGGCCCAGCCTCCACCAGCAGGGCCAGGGGCACCCACCACCCAGCTCTCAGCTGCCACATCCCAGTAACTTTGACCCCTCCCCCAAAAAACACTCCTCAAGACTAGAAGATTCTGTGATGTGCCACCGAGGCTGCCCCACCCCCACACCAAGGAGAAACCATCTCATGGCAAAAATGTGAAGAAGACCCAGGGCAGGGGGCCGTGAGGGGAAAAAAAGGCAGCCCTCCCACTCTAAGAGATGTATCTTTCATGTTTGTTTGGGTGGTTATTTTGTATTTGAAGCAAAATTTGGATTTTGAGCTTTTCGGAGGCTGAGTATAAGATGTTCAGTCACCTGTTCCCCTCCTGCCAGCAGCCTTGTCTTCCCCAGGAGTCCCCCACAGGAAATTTTTAATGTGGAAATAGGGCCAGCACTGTGGTGGGCAGAGCCCTCTCAGGGGCCAACCTCCCATGAGAGAGATACCAGATCATGGTGGATCTCATCTTGTCCTTGACGCTGGACCTCAGAGTTCGGCAACAGAGCGGTCAGTGTCAAATGCATTCATTTTGCAAGCAACCCCCTTGTGGGGTAGGAGTCATTATTCCCATTTTGCAGATAGGGGAAACTGAGGCTGAAGAAGGCCAAGTAAGTCCCCCAAGTTCACTCAGCTGGGACTTGACTTCCAGCCAAGGTCCAAAGGATGCTCTGCATTGACCTTGCCCTTGAGGTTTCGGGACCCCGTGTTGGGCTGGGGCGTGTGACCATCTCGGTCCGCAGGGCTCCTGGTGGGCCTGGGTCCCGGAATGGAGGGTGAGGCTCTGACCGGGGTCCTCTCTGGTTCCAGTGTGTGGACAACATTCGGTGCAATGGACTCATGATGAACGCCTTTGAAGAAAACTCCAAGGTCACTGTGCCGCAGATGATCAAGTAAGTGCCTCAGGCCCGTCCTGACCAGGCTGCGTTCCAGAGCCTGAGGGTCACATGGCAACAGGCTGGACACAGGGACGGGTCAGTGTTGGGGCTCACGGATGCTGGGTTTCCTCCTTTGGGGCTTTGGGATGCTTGTTTGTTTCGAGTTCATGTTTGTTTAGATGATTGCTTCGACTTTGTTTTGTTATGGTTTTTTTCTTCCACACACGTGGGGTGTTTTTGTATTAGACCCTTTAAAATATAACGTTAGGAATGAAACTTTCTGTACTCTTTTTAAACAACTGCTATTATTTTCCTAATTACAAAATGGATACACAGAACATTTCACAAGCAGAAAAACCACTAACACAGATTCCAGTGCCCCCATGTTTGTTTGAGCAGTCCCAGGACAAGGGGCTGATGGCCTGGGAAGTGAGGCTCCAAGCCCTAGGAATGCATTCCCTCTCGCCTCCTCTTTTTCCCTCCGCTCCCTGTTCCCCCTCCCCTCCTGGTCTCCCTCCCCTCCTCAGTGGTCTGCATGCCCAGCCCCTTCTCCAAGCCCTCCTTCCTGCCCCCACCCCACTGGCTCTCTGGCCTCCTTCCCCACCACTGAGTTCTGAGTCTGCCAGGCTCACCCAGTGCCCCTTAGGACCCAGCTCCCACCTGGACCACGCTGCTGTGCCCTTTGCTGCTTCAAGTGAGTGTGCTGGTGAACTGCAAGTGCAACATTACTTTTTCTTTTTTTTTTTTTTTGAGTCAGAGTCTCACTCTGTCACCCAGGCTGGAGTGCTGTGAAATGATCATGGCTCACTGCCACCTTGACCTCCTAGGCTTAGGCCATCCTTCCACCTCGGCCTCCCGAGTAGCTGGGACTACAGGTGCACGCCATCACACTCGGCTCATTTTTTAAATTTTTTTGTAGAAATGAGGTCTCACTATGTTGCCCAGGCTGGTCTTGAACTCCTGGACTCAGGCGATCCTCTCGCTTCAGCCTCCCAAAGTGCTGGGATTACAACCACAAGTCACTGCGCCTGACTTATGAGACTTTCTCAAACGTGTTTCATACACCACTCATCGGATCCTCCAAGCATCGACCTGCTGCTGCCTGCGTCCAGCCTTAGCTCACATGTTTGCTTCTCACATCCAGGAAATCATTCTGATCTCAGACGAGTCCCTCCTCCTCGCTGCTTCTTAAGGTTCCACAGATGCTATGTCTGTTTTCCTGTACTTTGGTGGTAGTAAAAAACCAGAATTGTTCAAAATGCCCTGCGTTGCACAGCAGAGCTGACTTAGAAGGAAGCTCGGCCTCCACCTATCAGAATGATCTCTTGAACTGCAGTATCTTTCTAGGCCCAGTGCTTTGCACGTCTATTTCTCATCCCAAAAAGATGTCTCTGGCCAGGCTCGGTAGCTCAGTCTGTAATCCCAGCACTTTGGGGGGCCGAGGCAAGTGGATTGCCTGAGCCTACGGGTTCAAAACCAGCCCTGGCAACCTTGGCAAGACCTCATCTCTACAATTAATACAAAATCAGCTGGGTGTGGTAGCGCACACCCTGTAGTTCTGCTACTTGGAAGGCTGAGACAGACGGATGGCAAGAGCCCAGCAGGTTGACACTGGGGTGGCCGTGAGTGTGCCACTGCACTCCAGCCTAGATGACAGAGTGAGATTCCAACTCAAAAAAAAAAAAAAAAGATGTCCCCGCTGCCCTGCACATGGAAGGCACTCGATAAAGGCTGTTCGTTTATGTATTCATATGTCCTATCTCAAGCATGTTTCCAAGGAAGATTCTTTAAGGACAGTGTGAAAGAGAGGCTGTGTCCATCTGGTCATGTCCTCTTGAGGGTGGTCTGCACTCCTAGGTGGGAGAGAGACACTGTCCAAAGAGCTAGTGATTTCAGAGTTAACGTTCATTCACTACCTCCCGTATGCCAGACACTGTCTAGGTCCCCCGAGTGGGTTATTTTATCAAATTGCTGGAAATCTTCAGAGATAGAGCTTATTATTTCCATTTTACAGAGGAGGAAACTGAGGCCTGGAGAGTAAGTGTCTTGTCTAAGAACACAAAGGAAACGAAGGTAGAGGTGGCATTTGACCCCTGTATTCTGATTCTAGGCCTTATGTTCTTCCCAGTACACCACAGATGCTACACCTGTATTGCTGTAACAACCTTTATGGAATGAATTCATGAGATTTTTTGTCGGTTTGTTTTTTAGATTTTGTTTTACCCTGTAAACTCATTGTGACAAAATTTCCAAAATTATTCTTTCAGTGACAAAAATATATGTGTTCATATATATAGTCTTCTAGTCACTAGAATACAAAAGATTTAAGGGGCAGGGTGCAGTGGTTCACATCTGTAATCCCTGCACTTTGGAAGGCCAAGGTGGGAGGATTGCTTGAGGCCAGGAGTTCGAGACCAGCCTGGGCAACATAGTGAGGCCCCGTCTATACAAAAAATATATATGTATTTAAGGCAGTTCTTTTTTTTAATTATAAAGATGTGGAGTACAATTCAGGTTTAAGGATACAAACGTTCATTATGCAAGTACCCTTGTTAATGAGGTGTGCCCCTCCCTCCCCTGGCAGTTTCCCTCAACTGCCAATTCAACCCCTCTCCCCTGACAGTTTCCTACTACTGCCAATCCCTTTCTTATAGTATTATAATTGTTCAAGGTCCGCTTATGAGTGAGAACATATGGTACTCTGTTTTTTGTTTCTGTGATAGATCACTGAGTATGATCGACTCTGAATCCATCCAAGTTGCTGCGAAGTCCATATATTTGTCCTTCTTTATGGCTATATAATATTCCATTGTATATATGTACCACATTTTTTTTCCTAGTTCAGCTTCAATAGGCAGCATGGTTGGTTTCATGTTTTTGCTATTGTGAAGAGAGCTGCAACAAACATACATGTGCAGATACCTTTTTTGTAGAATGATGTGAGTTCCTCTGGAGAACTCTAGTTGTTTCAGAAATCACTGTCTTCCAGAGAGGTTGCACTAGTTTGCGTTCCCACCAGCAGTGTAGAAGCATTTCTTTTTCTCTGCATCCTCCTCAGCATCTGTTGTTGTTTGTTTGATTAATGATGGCCATTCTGACTGGGGTTAGGTGGTATCTCAAAGTGGTTTTGATTTGCATTTCTCTGATGATGAGTGAAGCTGAGCACTTTTTCATGTGTCTGTTGGCTGCCCATATATCTTCCTTTGAGAAGTGTCTATTCATGTCTTTTGCCCACTTTTTAATGGGGCTGTTTGTTTGTTTTTTTTCTTTTTGATGCTTTTGAGTTCCTTGTAAATCCTACATGTTAGACCTTTGTCAGATACAGAGTTGGCAAATATTTTTTTCCCATTCTGTGGGCTGTCTTACTGCTCTCCTAATGGCTTCTTTTGCTTTGCAGAAGTTCGCCAGTTTGATGAGGTCCCACTTGTCTATCTTATTTCTTCTGGTATGGTCACTTAGGGTTCTAATCAGGAATTGGTTGCCAGTTCCAATTTCCATAAGGGTGTCTCCTGTGTTTTCTAAGATTCTTATAGTTTGAGGTTTTACATTTACATCTTTGATTCATTTAGAGTTAATTTTTGTGTATGGTGATAGGTAGGGGTTCTGTTTCAATCTTCTGCATGTGATCAGCTAGTTTTCCCAGCACCATTTACTGAATAGGTTCTCTTCTCCCCAGTGGTTATAGTTGGAGGCTTTGTCAAAGATACATTGGTTGAGAAATTGAGGCTTTGCTTCCAGAATCTCTATCCTGTCCTATTGGTCTATATGCCTACTCTTGTACCAATACCAGGCTGTTTTAATTACTGTAGACTTATAGTAAATTTTGAAGTCTGGAAGTGTGATACCTCCTGCTTTGTTTCTTTTGCTAAGGATTTTTTGGCTATTTGTGGTCGTTTATGTTTCCATATGAATTTCTGTATTGTCATTTCCAGGTCTGAGAAGAATGGTGTTGGTGACTTAATGGGTATTGCGTTGAATCTGTAGATTGCCTTTGGTTAAGGCAGCTTTTAAATGCGCATAAAAACAACTGCATTAAATACCATCATCAGTGTGTAAGGAATAAGAGTAAACAAAAAATAAAGAAGGAAATAAAACTAACGAGGTTTGATTCCAAGATTGTCGATAGTCAATACAAAAATGAAACATGATTACAAAGCTTCACAAAGGCCCAAAAAAGAAAACCCCCAGTTGCTCAAGAGAGTCTGTCCAAGAGTCGCGGTAGATGCGACTGCACCGCCAAGAAAACGCGTCCCCCGCAATGTGGCCACCAGAGGGCGCTGTGTGGCGCAGCAGCCTTCAAGGCTGCCAGTTCCCACCACGCCCAGGAGAGGCCGCTGACCTCAAATTCACAGGCAGCTGAAACAAGACCAGGCGAATTTACACCCAGCTCAGCCCTCTGTGCTCCGGTTGGCGGCCCTGAACACCTGCCCTCACCGCTGCCAGATCCAACATGCCACATTTTGTTTATTTGTTTATCAGCTGATGGACATTTGAGTTCCTTGCACTTTGGGGCTATTACAAAGAAGGTTGCTGTGAACATTCATATAAACGTTTTTGTGTGAGCAGAGTTCCCATATATCTTGTGAACTCAGCAATACCTTTTTTTAAGTTTGTAATATTTCTTCAGTATTTCTAGGGGGGTTATAACATAAGGCTTTTAGGATATTGGGAAAAAGAGGTTGTAGGCTGTCTTCAATATCATCCTTCTCAGGCTTTCCTTGTTCTCTTGATAAGACTGGCCTTGGGCCAGGCATGGGGACTCACATCCATAATTCCAGCACTTTGGGAGGCCGAGGTGGGAGGATCACTTGCGGTTAGGGACTTGAGACCAGCCTGGGCAATATAGCCATACCCCATCTCTATTTTTAAAAAGACTGCCCTTGGCTATTGGTACATGGGGGATAGGGATGGGTCAGCTGGGGCCCAGCCCTCAGGGAATGAGCCTCCTGGTGGGAGAGACAGTCGTGGGCTTGGACACCTTCAGACCCACATCACCTCTCTGTCCTTACTCCCTCCTCAGGTCCGACGCCTCCTTATACTGTGACGACGTTGACATTCGCTTCAGCAAGACCATGAACTCCTGCAAAGTGCTGCAGATCCGCTATGCCAGCGTGGAGCGGCTGCTGGAGCGGCTGACAGACCTGCGCTTCCTGAGCATTGACTTCCTCAACACCTTCCTGCACTCCTACCGCGTCTTCACCACTGCCGTCGTGGTCCTGGACAAGCTCATCACCATCTACAAGAAGCCCATCAGCGCCATCCCTGCCAGGTGACGGCAGCACCCTCCATCTCCCATGCCCGCAGATCCTGGGGGGGGGATCTAAGCTCAGAATGGGGGGCTGGGAGATACCTGCATAAGCTGAGGTGTCCCCAGGGACCAAGCCTCCCTCTGCAGAGTCCAGGGATGGAGCATTTACCTGGTGCTGCTGCCGGGCCTGTTTCCTCCACCTCCACCTGCCCAGGCCCTGCTGTTTAGGGGGGTGGGGTTGGGGGGTGGGCAGCTCCTCCCTGCACACCTCTTAGACCCCCTCCTGGGAATTAGGATCCCACCCCTCTCTGCAGGTCAGTGCTTCCCCACCTTCCTCGTGTAAGAAAGAAGGAAAGAAGCAGGGCTCGGTGGCTCAGCCTGTAATCCCAGCACTTTGGGAGGCTGAGGTGAGAGGATTGCCTGAGCCCGCAGGTTCGAGACCTGCCTGGGCAACTTGGCGAGACCTCATCTCTACAATAAATCAAAAAATTAGCTGGGCATGGCAGCGCACGCCTGTAATTCCAGCTACTTGGAAGGCTGAGGTGGAAGGATCGCCGGAGCCCAGCAGGTCGAGGCTGCGGTGGCCGGGAGCGGCCACTGCACTCCAGTCTGGGTGACAGAGTGAGACTCCAACTTAAAAAATAAAACAAAACAAAAAAAAAAACAAGAAAGAAGGAAAGAGGAAGGAAAGGAGGAGGAGAAAAGAAAGAGAAAGGGAAGGAGAAAGACAAAAGAAGGAGGAGCCGGGCTCGGTGGCTCAGCCTGTAATCCCGCGCCTTTGAGAGGTTGAGGTGAGTGGATTGCCTGAGCCCGTGGGTTCGAGACCCGCCTGGGCAACTTGGCGAGCCCTCATCTCTACAGTAAATTTTAAAAAAACTAGCCGGGCGTGGTAGCACACGCCTGTAGTTCCAGCTACTTGGATGGCTGAGGCAGAAGGTTCGCCAGAGCCCGGCAGTTTGAGGCTGCGGTGGCCGGGAGCGGCCACTGCACTCCAGTCTGGGTGACAGAGTGAGATTCCAACTCAAAAAAAAAAAGAAGGAAGGAAGAAGGAAAGAAGGAGGGGGGGGAAGAGAAGAAGGGAAGGAGAAAAAAGGAAAAGAGGGAGAAAGAAATAAAAAGGGGGGGCCAGAAAGAAGAGAGGGAAGGAGGAAGAAAAAAGAGGAAGGGAGGGAGGGAGAAAGAAAAAGGAGGAGGAGGGCCAGAAAGAAGGAGAGAAGAAAGAAGAAAGAAAAGAGAGAGCGTGGGGAGAAGGAAAGAGGGAAGGGAGGAAATCTCATCCCTGCTCTCCTTAGACCATCGCATCCTCCCCTCCCTGGAGGAGAAAGAGGGAGCCCTTCTGGCATACTTGGGTGACACGGCACAAGGACACAGGCCACTAACAACATCATCGCAGCTCAGCTCTGCCGTTGAGCCTGCTGGGACCCAGAATGGCCCAGAGACTTCCCCAGGGCTCCTAGAAGTCAGTGGCTGAGGGGGAGCTTGAGCCCAGGACCCCAGTCTCATTGATGGCTCCTGCCTGAGTATGGGTGACAGACAGATTCTCCTCCCTTCCCTGCTCCAACCATGTTCAAATCCCGCCCATACCCCTGGCCAAGTCACCTAGGGCCTGGTGGAATCCCTATGAACTCAGGGTCCCTGCCAGGTCAGGATCCTAAGGGCAGACCCCAGATCACAGGGTCAACGCTAGACTGAGGTCTGAGGCTATCCCAAAGTGCTAGCCTCACAACTTCAGAGCGACTAGCAGTTTGTTGATTGGTAAATCACCAATCTAGCTCCTGGGCACCCAGAGTCCTAATTTATCAAAAACATTTACCCCATCTTGCCAGATGATTACCCAGCCAAGGGCAGAACCCAGCGAGGCACCAAGGAGTCGCATCAGATCAAGCCAGGCCCTGCCTGCAGCCCAGCTTAAGCTGCATAAGGAAAGTGTCTATTCATCCCCGTTTAACAGAGGGGGAAGGCAAGGCAAGCACAGAGCAATGAAGGACTTGGCCAAGACTACCCAGTGCAGTTCAAGTTCAGGAATCTGGCCAGGCCCCAACGAGCCTCACTGCTGAGAGACCCCAGTGCCCAGATCCCAGCCCTTAGGGGCTCAGAGCCCTTTGAGTTGTTCTCAATTTCCAGGGTGAGACATGGGCCAGAGCCTCAGCCTGGGGCTGTCTGGAGCAGGGCTCCTGAACCACACCCCTTCCCATGCTCCCCAGGAATCAGACCACTCCTCCCCACACACCTCTGCTACCAGGGCAAAGCCGCTGCCCAGAACATGCCTCCCATTCCCTCCCCAATTCCTTCCCCCAACCCCATCCCAGGCCTCATCAGCAGGGCAGGTCTTGCATCTCTCCTTGACCTTCTGGAACCTCAGTGATCCGCTTCCCAGGTCCCTGAGAAAGCAGGGCACCCAGCCCATCCAGGAAGGATTCATGCCTGAAAGTAACTGAAATCATCCTGGGGCCCAGCAGGTCACCCCTCCCTCCCAGCAGCAGTGCCCTGCTGCAGAAAGAGGCAAGGTCAGGGCCAGCTTTCGGTGCTGTGGCCTTGACCAAGTCTTAACCTTGCTGAGCCTGTTTCCTGTGTGTGCCTACCTCCTGGGCAACAGTGAGAGTTAACCAATAAGGCCTGTCCCACGTGAGACACAGAGCACACACTCTCCATGTGGCAAGCTACGGTGGGCGTTTTATGGATATATCACCTGCTTCCAACCTGACCCTGAGGTGGGGCCCCATCGTGAAGATGGTAGGGGCATGACCAGGATTGCTGGGAGACCCCACTTGCAGCTTCCTGTACCCCTCACATGTACTAAAGCACTGTGACCGGGTGAGAAGGACCTAGCACTTTGAGAGGCTGAGGTGGGAAATGTTCTTCAGCCCAGGAGTTTGAGACCAGTCTGGGCAACATAGCAAGACCCCATTTCTACAAAAAGTCAAAAATTAGCCAGGTATGGTAGTGGACACCTGTAGTCCCATCTACTTGGGAGGCTGAGGAAGGAGGATGGCTTGAACCCAGGAGGCTAAGTCTGTGGTGAGCCATGATTGTGCCACTGCGCTCCAGCGTGGGCAACAGGCAAGACCCTGTTCAAAAAAGAAAAAAAGAGCCGGAGGCATCAGATGAGTCAATTCCTGTCTCTGAAACTCAGCTTCCTCATCCACAAAGTGTGCCTGAGGACCTCTCTAAGGATGAGGTCAGAACGTGTGGGTGACACAGGCCCCATGTGTGACAGAGGCAGGTTCCACAGAGCCCGTGGGTCAGGGGACCATCAGACCCTGCTGACCTGAGGGAGGCAGAGGAGGACACATCAGATGGACCCACCCCTGCCACGAAAGCCGCACCCTATGCCCAAACTATGGAGAGCAGGATGCTTGATTCTGGGCCATTAAATCCCACAGTTCCTTTTCAGGGGACTGGCCGGGTTTCAGGGATCATGAGAACAAGGGAATCATCACCACCACCCTGAGCCCTGGAGCTGGGCCCTGGGCCTGGGTGGGCAGGCAGCCCATGCTGACCACCGTGCTCACACCTGCCTGCCTGCAGGTCGCTGGAGCTCCTGTTCGCCAGCGGCCAGAACAACAAGCTTCTATACGGTGATCCCCCCAAGTCCCCACGCGCCACCCGCAAGTTCTCCTCGCCGCCACCCCTGTCCATCACCAAGACGTCGTCACCCAGCCGTCGGCGGAAGCTGTCTCTCAACATCCCCATCATCACAGGGGGCAAGGCCCTGGACCTGGCCGCACTCAGCTGCAACTCCAATGGCTACACCAGCATGTACTCAGCCATGTCGCCCTTCAGCAAGGCCACGCTGGACACCAGCAAGCTCTACGTGTCCAGCAGCTTTGCCAGCAAGATTCCAGATGAGGGCGATACAACCCCTGAGAAGCCTGAAGACTCCCTGGCGCTCTGCAAGCAGAGTGAGTGTGCGTGAGGGTGGAGATACACCCCTGCCCCCCAGGGGCTCCTCCCAGCCCCGCAAGCCTCAGGGCGGCTCCTCATGCTCCTGAAGGCAGGAGGGAAAAGGCTTGGGGGTCCCAGGCAGGTCAGGGGCAGTGCAAAGTCTGGGTCATGCAGGGAGGTCACCACACGCCAGGGTAAGGCAGGCAGAAGGTCCTAGACTTCAGATGAGCACCAGCGCCCATCATGAGCAGTGTAGGCGCTCCCCTGCCCTGACGACAGTGTCATTCTGCATCTCTGCATTTGTCCATGTCTGCAGTAGGTGTATCCCTGGCCTGGCCCTGTTCAGGGCCTGGGAGAGAGGAGGTTGCCAGGCCTAGCTCCTGCCCTCTGGAACTCCTAGTCCCACTAAGCACCTGCACCAGACCTTGGAATGCGGACCTAGAGGGTTACTAGAGGGGCACGCAGAGGGGGTGGGGATGCCTGAGAGGGCTTCCTAGAGGAGCTGTTCAATCTAGATTTTCACCAGGAGGAAGGGGGGACATTCTAGACAGTGGGAACGGAAGATGAATGACCGAGGGAAAAGAAGGGCGCTTGGGGTTCAGGGAGCAGCTTGAAGCTCAGCACACCTGGGACATCAGGGAGTGGGGCGGGGCTGGAGACGATGCTGACCATCCTAGAAGGGTCAGGTCTGGTTCTGTCTTAGATCAGTTCTGGGTGCCACCATCATTGTCTTGGTCAACACACAAAAGCATGTGCACACAAGCACTCTCTCACACACACACACATACACCCCTGGCTTTGAGATGTCCCAGGCTTTGAGGAGGAGGCCTTTAAAAAAGACTTTGAAGATGGTTAGGATTTCTCTCTGAGTTGAGAAGAGGGAAGACAGAGGGCACGGGTGAGGGGAGATAAAGCCCCCACAAGAATCCATGCCAAGCAGCATTTACTCCATGCCAAGCAGCACACAGTACATGGGTAATGAGTGCAGCTGAAAGTCAGTAAACTTGGTAACGGCCTACCGGAAATTTCATAATTTCACGTTATGGAATGTAACACAAGGCAGTCCTGAGACGTCAACTGGTGATCCAGGAGCCCACAGACCTGTCTAACTGTATGCCAGATTTGTGTGTCTAAGTGTGTGTGTGTGTGTGTGTGTGTGTGTGTGTGTGTGTACATTCTTTTCTAAACAGAAGAGCCGTGACTTTCTTTGGGTTCTCAAGAATGTCAAGTGCAACTGCACTCACTTTCTATTTGGCAAAACTGAGGCCTAGGGAAGTTAAGAGTTTTTGACCAAGATCTTACCACACAGACCCGACTTTTAATATAATTTATCAGCTTCCCCAAAATGTGTAGACCATGAGTCTTCCAAGATTAGGAAAACGAATTGCCTAAGCCAGGACATTTTTGAGAGTGACCAAGGGCATGAGACAATCTGTATAAAACAGGACTTTTGGCCAGGCTTGGTTGCTCAGTCTGTAATCCCAGCACTTTGGGAGGCCGAGGCAAGTGGATTGCCTGAGCCCACGGGTTCAAGACTAGCCCAGGCAACTTGGTGAGACCACGTCTCTACAAAAATTAGCCGGGCATGGTAGCACACACCGTAGTTCTGGCTACTTGGAGGCTGAGGCAGAAGGATCACTGGAGTCCAGCAAGTCGATGCTGGGGTGGCTGTGAGCGTGCCACTGCACTCCAGCCTGGGCGATGGAATGAGACTCTAACTCAAAAAAAACAAATAAATTTAAAAAATAAAACAAAGCAGGACTTTTCTGGGAATACTGGAGCAGATGGTTACCTTAAGATGATTTACCAAAAAGAGAGAGAAAGAGAGAGAGAGGCCTTGCTACTCAAAGTGTGGTCTGTGAACCAGCATCATGGGCACTGCCTGGAGTTTGTTAGAAATGCAGACTCTCAGCCAGGCACAGTGGTTCACGACTGTAATCCCAGCACTTTGGGAGGCAGAGGCGAGAGGATTACCTGAACTCAGGGGTTCGAGACCAGCCTGAGCAACATGGCTAGACCTTGTCTCTACAGTAAATCAAAAAATCAGCGGAGTGTGGTGGCTAAGGCAGAAAGATCACTTGAGTCCAGCAGGTCGAGGCTGCAGTGGCCATGAGTGCACCACTGCACTCCAGCCTGTGCAACAGTGAGACTCTGACTCAAAAACAAAAAAAAGAAAGAAACGCAGACTCTCAGTCCTCACCCTAGACTCTGAATCCTCCTTTGCATTCTAACAAGATCCCCAGGTATGTCTGTTAAGGTTTGAGTCACCCTGGGAGAGCACAAGCTACCTTGGAGAGTAGCATTCTGATAAATCACATGACAAATAATGCTGTTAAACTTTCTTCATGTGGTATATCCTAGACATATTCTGTTTTGCTTCAGGAAACTGTAGACATGACTTTTAAAATCATTGAAAACTATCTATTACTTTTTTATCTCCCAGACTCCGAAGTCTCTGTCAGAGAAGAGTCAGATGTTGATCAAAACCAGAGTGATGACGGGGATGCTGAAACATCACCAACGAAATCTCCAACAACACCAAAATCAGTCAAAAGCAAAAACTCTTCAGGTATAATTCACCAGTGCAGAAATACAAACAGATCCCAAGTTGGGAGGGTTTGGGAGATCCCCAGGTCAAGTCAAGTCAAGGCAAGTGGGTGTCACCCTTTATGCTTTTGTGACTCCTTAGGGCAGTAACTGTGCTGATATTTCGTAACCTTCCGGTGCGAGGGGACTGTGGGTGCTGGACGTTGACTGGGGAGGTCCTGCTCTCCAACTCAGCAAAGTAACCCCCAACCTGTGGACAAACTGCACTGAACCCACCCCACGTCGGCAGGCGGGAGGCCCAGCCTCTAGGGCTCCTTCATGGAAGACCCTGATTCAGAGGGTGCTTCCTGGACTCCTACATGCCAGGCTCTGTGCCAGCCCGTTCCTCATCCTGACAACCTTGCAGAGAGACCAGGGTTTTCAATAAGGGAAAGACCCTGAGAGGCAGTGACACGGCCCACCCGGTGTCTCAGACTCCTGATGCTGGAGGGTCCTTTAAGCCGTCTTGATCACCGCTTCCCATAAATCACTTCCCCGCACACAGAGGGCTCTGAGACACCTGGAGACGGGGAGAGAGCTCCAGGGGCTGTAGGGGCAGCCTGCGGCCTGGACATCCCACTCCTCGGGCCTTCAGAAGAAACCCGGTAAGGAACAGGGTCACCCAGCTTTAGAGAGAAACCCCCTGGACACACAAACACAGACCTCACGAAGAGCCAAATTTCAGAATAAGCTTGGAGTCATTAAAATAAATCACAGCTTCCGGGCTCAGTGGCTCAGCCTGTAATCCCACGCCTTTGGGAGGCTGAGGTGAGTGGATTGCCTGAGCCCACAGGTTCGAGACCCACCCGGGCAGCGAGACCTCATCTCTACAATAAATCAAAAAATCAGCCAGGCGTGGTAGCGCGCACCTGTAATTCCGGCTACTCGGAAGGCTGAGGCGGAAGGATCGCTGGAGCCCAGCAGGTCGAGGCTGTGGTGGCCGGGAGCAGCCACTGCACTCCAGTCTGGGTGACATAGTGAGACTCCGACTCAAAAATAAATAAATAAATAAATAAAATAAAAATAAATCACTTGTGCCTCACAGCACTGCTGCTTTATCCCAAGTATAGATCTCTTTCCAGAGACTTACAAGATGGAAGTTAAAGGTTTCTAAATCGGTTTCTACTACAATTATGACTTCAAAATTATTAGTATTAGCCAGGCACAGTGGTGCACACATATAGTCCCAGCTACTCAGGAGGCTGAGGCAGGAGGTTTGCTTGACTCCAGGAGTTCAAGGCTAGTACACTAATGTTGTGCTAGTGAATAGCCACTGCACACCAGCCTGGGCAACTTAGTAAGACCCCCGCATAAATAAATGAATAAAATTATTTAAAATTATTATTAATAGCAATGAAATTTCATGGCATTTATATAGCCTTTCATCCAACACATAGCACTTTCATCTATGTTATCGGCTTTAATTTTTATTTTTATTTTATATCTATATAATAATACTTCTTTTTTGAAGTATTATTATTCCTGTTATCCAGAGGAGAGTACTCAGACTTGGAGAGGTTAAGTAACTTAGCCAAAGCCCCACAGCAGTAAAGGATGGCGGAGAATTTCTACATAGGGAGGTGGACTCTGAGTGCAGTGCTCTCTCCATCCCTTTGTACTCATGAGCCTGTCAGTATGAATGATGAATGTCAGACATTGGACAGGTTGTGTGTTCATTCCAAGCAAACTGAAAGGGTAAGAAAACTCGTGATGCTGTCCTCAAGCAGGCCGGTACCCCGCTGGGCCTGAAGGTCAAGGTGCAGCTTGGGAGCCAGAAAGATGGAAGGGGGTAGCTGGAGGCCTTCTTCAGAAGCAGGCAGGTCCCACCCTCAAACAACCCTGAGAGGTTGTGGTGTGACCCTTCCCAGAGACTTGACACATACAGAGACACCCCCACACACAAGCACCACCTCCCAAGTCTGGGTGTCCTGGAGACACAGCCTGTGCACTCAGGCTGGTCTAGCCTCGGAACCCCTGGTTTTTTCCAACAGCCTGAGGGGCCAGGACCACGTAGGCTAAGGGATGTTCCCTCCTCTCCACAGAGTTCCCGCTCTTTTCCTACAACAATGGCGTCGTCATGACCTCCTGTCGAGAGCTGGACAATAACCGCAGTGCCTTGTCGGCCGCCTCCGCCTTTGCCATAGCAACCGCAGGAGCCAACGAGGGTACCCCAAACAAGGAGAAGTACCGGAGGATGTCCTTGGCCAGCGCTGGTATGTGGGCGGTCTCCGCCCCCATGAGACCTGTGACAGGTGATGACAGCCACGGTCCCTGGCCTACCCAATTTGGGTGTTTTAGGCAAGCTCCCATGGCACTGCTGGGTCCTGTTAACAGCACCCACCCTGGGGAACTCCCAGCATCCCCCACGACTCCCACTCCAAGCTTCCTGCATCATTATTTTGCCTTAGGGTACCCCCTTCCACTAGGGCGTACTGGGTCACAGCCCTCACTTCTGCACTGGCTGGGGCCCTGCACACACCCAGGGCCCGAAGCCCACACCTGTGGCCAGGACCACCATGCACCCTGGGCACCCTCCCTCCCACCTCCCACTTCCACTGGCTTTGGTCCTGTGCAAGGACTGGAGGAATGGCCCCAGCGGGGAGAGGCTGCCTGTGTGACACTGTCTGGGGAGCTGTCTGGACCTTCCAGCAGCCCTTGTCTAGTGAGGTCTGGGAGAAGGTAGATATGCATGGACTGTGTCTACTGAGGAGTCATGGCATCCTGGCCACAAGCCAGTTCTTCGGTCTTTCATTGTCCCCCTGCCCATGGCCCTCTCACCCAGTAGCTAGGAGGAGCAAGCCCAGCTTAGCCAGGCCTGGGACTTGAATCTAGACTGTCTTGTTCTTATACATCCTCTCTCCCCTCTGCCATGTGGCCCCCCAGGGTTTCCCCCTGACCAGAGGAATGGAGACAAGGAGTTTGTGATCCGCAGAGCAGCCACCAACCGCGTCCTAAACGTGCTCCGCCATTGGGTCTCCAAGCACTCTCAGGTGTGTAGGGGCCCTCCCCAGGCGGGCTGCAGGAGCCACTGCGCACTGGCCCCAGGACCCAGCTGCCCTCCGAAGGGTGCTGTGGGCAGAGTGAGCCGATGACTGAGGACAGGGTGGCAGAGGGCAGGGAGCCCACATGGGCCACCCTGGTATTCCCAGAAGGACCTGCTCATGTCCCCCTAGGAGAGAACCAAGGACATTCAGGGACAAGGAGCCTCTGTCTGTCCAGTCTGTCTACAGCAGGAGTGTAGGGGTACAGCTAGGCCCTGGCCTCAGAATACAGCCAGCAGGATGATGGGCTTCAGTCTTGCCCAAGGGCCTTTACCTGAAATTCTCTGGGCCTGAGTGTCTCCTGTGCCCTGCCATGCAGATAGCGAAAAGGAAACAAGGCCAGGCAGCTTGCAGTCAGGCATAGTGACATGCATCTATAGTCCCAGCCTCTCAAGAGGCTGAGGCAGAAGGATCGCTTGAGCCCAGGAGGTTGAGGCTGTGGTGAGCCATGACCGTGCTGCTGCACTCCAGTCTAGAAGATAGAGCCAGATCCGGTCTCAAAAAAATAAGGCAGAGTAAGAAGCTGCAGCTCCCTCGTCTGGCCTAGAGCCAGACCACTGCAGGGCAGCTTGAAAACAGCAGCCAAAGCCACCACGTCTTCCCACAGGACTTTGAGACCAATGACGAGCTCAAGTGCAAGGTGATCAGCTTCCTGGAGGAGGTCATGCATGACCCGGAGCTCCTGACCCAGGAGCGGAAGGCTGCAGCCAACATCATCAGGTAGGGACAGGCTGTGGCCCAGCTACGGGTGGCTTTCTGGGACAGGGGCCCTGTCCTCTGCCTCTATGCAGGCTGGCCCCGAGACACAAAGGGCCCTTCTCGGCAGGACGACAGCCCAGGCAGCAGGTGTGCTGGGGTAGAGGTGAGCCCAGAGCCCTGAGCCTCCTGGGGGCCACGCACCCCCCTTCTACAGCCAGGCTCAGGCATGGGAAGTCCATCCCTCCCTCCCTTCCTCCCTCCCTCCCTCCTTCCCTCCCTCTCCTCACCCCCCACCAGACCGTGATCTCTTTAAGGCAAAAACTCAGCCCACTCTCCATGTGTGTTCATGTAGCACCTGCTAGCCCGTGTCATCCAGTGTGGCAGGTGCTGGCTACCTGTGGCTCTTTAAATTCTATTAATTAAAATGTGCTGAAATGCAAAATCCGGTTCCACGGTCATGTGAGTCACACGTGGCTGGAGGCTCCTGCCCTGGACAGCACAGGTGGGGACACTCCATCATTATAGAAGTTCCATTGAGCAGTACTGGGAGTTCCCAGCCACAGCTACTCAGGGAGTATCTGTTAAATCATTAGTCCCCAAGCTGAACGCAGTGGCTCATGCCTGGAATCCTAGCACATTGTGAGGTTTAGGCGAGAAGATTGCCTGAGCCCAGGGGTTCAAGACCAGCCTGGGCAACTTGGCAAGACCTCGTCTCTACAATAAATTAAAAGATACAGAGCGTGGTGGCACAGACTGTAGTTCCAGCTACTTGGAAGGCTGAGGTGGAAGGATCGCCTGAGCCCAGCAGGTCGAAGCTGCAGTGACCATGAGCATGCCACTGTACTCCAGCCTGGGTGACAGAGAGAGACTCTGACTCAAAAAAAAAAAAATCATTAGTCCCCAAACCTGTGCTTGGTCTCCCTCCCCAGATGGCCTCTCCTGGCAGAGGTCAGGGGTCAGCCCCGTGTCTGAGCTGCTCTTCTAGTGACTCATGGTGTGACCTGGGCAAGTTCCTTCTCTGAGCCTCGTTTTTCTCCTCTGTAACGGGTGAACAATACCCACCTCGGGGACTGGGGCAAGGTCACAGGTTGTCACTTCTGCAGGCTGTTCAGCGGGTGGCCGGTGCTGGCCCGGTGTCCACCCAGGACTCTCATCCTGACTTGGTGTGAGGGCTCAGGCTCTGTCCTCTCCTTCTCGCCTCTCACCTGGCTCCTGCACTGGCCCCAGGACCCAGTGCACCACGTCCTGCTTAGGTACTTCCTGCCTATAACAGAGTTCCCAGGATCCCTCCCCAGCCAGGCTGTGGAGGCCCCACGCCGTGGCCCATCCGTTCCTCAGGTTCCCAGAGCTAGAATCTCTTCTAGACCTCCTTCCTCTTCAACACTATCTTCCTGCATGCTTGCGCACGCACACACACGTGCATGCGGTCAGCCCCAGCCCTCGGAGCTGGTCCTCCCCAGAAAGCTCTGGAGTGTGCTGAGTTCCTGCCATGTAGATCAAAGCTACCTCAGGAGGGAACCTGCTCTCAGGGTGCAGTGGGAAGAGCAGGCTGTGCAGGTGGCAGCCTGGTTTGAATCCTAGACCCTCTGTACTCCAGCTAGGGATCCCAGGCCAGACGTTTCCCTAAGTGCCATTGCCCCGCCTATAAGCTGTACATGACAATACCTTCTGCCAGGGCTGACTCAGTCAGAATGCCATTCCTGCAGCCCGGGCCAGCCTACAGACACCTGGCTGTCACCACACACTCAGATCTGGTTCTCCAGCTCCCCTCCCCCCCAACTTCCACCATTCTCCCCTGCACTCACCAACTTCGGCTCTGCATCCTGTCACAGCCGGTGTGGAACACTTTTGCCTGACTCAGAGGATCCACCATCCTTTTCTACCACAGCCTGGTACCCACCCTCCTCTGCTCCCCCCAGCGTAGTCCCACCAAAGTCCATGGGCCTTTGGCCACCATGCTGCTGCCTCCCACCCTCCTTGTGCCTCTTGCCCAGACAAGCCCGGGCCTGAGGGCTCCCAATCTGTAAGACTGGCACCACCTCCTGCCCACTTTGGCCCTCCAGGCCTGGAGCTCCAGCCCCTTCATGCATCTGTCATTCCACATGCACATGGGAGCGCCTGCTGAATGCCCAGTTCTGGACCCAGAGCTCTGGAGCTGAAGCAGACACAGCCCTGACCTCAAGGGCTCCCTGCCTGGTGGGGGACAAATGTTGCCACATAGCCAGATACAGAAAGCCCAGGGGCCGAGGGGGCCCCAGGAGGGGACATCCCCTAGCCAGGAGGGTCACGACCATCAGGAAGAAGTCAGAGAAGGAGAAAGGGGCAAGGACACTCCAGGCACAGGGGACAGGCCAGGTCAGAGAAGCCTGAGAACTGAAGACATGGGGGCTTGGCTGGGCTGGGGGGCCCCAAGGAGTAAGGGAGGCTCACCGAGCCTTCTCCTTCCCAGGACTCTGACCCAGGACGACCCAGGTGACAACCAGATCACATTGGAGGAGATCACGCAGATGGTGAGCCGGCCTGCCCTCTCCCTCGCCAAGCTGTCCTTCCTGCCCTTGCACCCAGGCTCCCCTGGCTGAGCCCAGTCACCACCAGTCCTCATTTCCCGTGGCTCCTGTGACAAAGTACCACAAACTGGCTGACTTAAAACAGCACAAATGTCTTCTCTCATAGTTCTGGAGGCCAGAAGTCTGAAATCAAAGTGTTGGCGGGGCCATGTTCCCTCCAAAACCAGGGAGACAGTGAGACCCTGACTCCAAAAGAAAATTTTTTTTAAGTAGCCAGAGTAAGGACCTGTGACTGTGCCACTCCTACCCTGCCTCCATTGTCATGTGGCTATCCTCTCCCCATGTGTCTCGACATCATCTTCCCTCTGTGTCTCTCTGACCCTGTGCTTAAATCTCCCCTCGTTGGCTGGGCACAGTGGCTTGTGCCTATAATCCCAGCACTTTGGGAGGCTGAGGCAGGAGGACTGCTTGAGCCAGGAGGTCAAGACTAGCCTGAGCAACGTGGCAAGACCCCATCTCTACAAAGAAATTAAAAAATTAGCTGGGCATGGTGGCGTGCCCCTGTAATCCCAGGTACTCAAGAGGCTGAGGTGGAAGGATCACCTGAGCTCAGGAGGTCGAGGCTGCAGTGAACCATGAACATGCCACTCCACTCCAGCCTGGGTGACAAAGTGAGACCTCAATTTTAAATAAATAAATGAATGTTCTCTTCTTCTAAGGACACCAGTCATATTGGATTAGGGCCCACCCTAATGATCTCATCTTGAGTACATCTACAAAGACCCTATTTCCAAATACAGTCATCTCTTGGTAGCCTCAGGAGATTGGTTCCGGGACCTCCCACGGATACCAAAATACAAGGATGCTCAAGTCCCTGATATAAAATGCATAGTATTTGCATATAACCTATGCACATCCTCACGAATACATCATCTCTAAATCAAGTGTAGTGGCTCACACCTGTAATCTCAGCACGTTGGGAGACCAAGGTAGGAGGATTGCTTGAGGCCAGAAGTTAAAGGCCAGTCTGGACAACAAAATGAGAGCCCACCTCTACCAAAAAAAAAAAAAATGTTTTTTTTAATTAGCCACGCATGGTGGCACACACATATAGTCCCAGCTACTCAGGAGGCCGAGGTGAGAGGACACCTAAGCCCAGGCTTTGAAACTACAGTGAACTATGATTGCACCACTGCACCCTAGCCTGGGCAACAGAGCAAGACCTGTCACACACACACAAAAAAATCGGCCAGACTGTAATCCCAGCACTTTGGGAGGCCGAGGCAAGTGGATTGCCTGAGCCCACGGGTTTGAGACCCACCCGGGCAACTTGGCGAGACCTCATCTCTACAATAAATCAAAAATTAGCCAGGTGTGGTAGTGCGCGCCTGTAGTTCTGGTTACTTGGAAGGCTGAGGAGGAAGGATCACTGGAGCCTAGCTGGTTGAGGCTGCGGTGTCGGAGAGCGGACCACTGTACTCCAGTCTGGGCGACAGAGTAAGACTCCAACTCCTAAAAAAAAAAAAAATTCATCTCTAGATTTCTTATGACACCTAATGCAATGCCTACACATCACTTCATTCATTCAATTCAAGTTCTGCCTTTTGGAACTTTGTGGAATTTTTTTTTTCTGAATATTTTCAATCCGTGGTTGTTTGAATCCACAAATGCAGGACCCACAGATACAGTGGCCCAGCTGTAAGGCCACGTTCACAGGTACCAGGACTTCAGCATATCTTTGTGGAGGAACAAACGTCACCCATAACACCACCCTTTCCTGTCCTTCCTCCTCTGCCCATCACTCCCCTCCCCCTCTGCTCTTCCCCTCCCTCCCACCATTCCTAGAAGCGGGAGGGTGAGAGGCGAGGACCATGGTGGATGGCACCCTGTGCCCTGGCCCTGTGCAAGCCCCTTAGAGGCGTGAGATACTCCCGTCAGTGTCGCTGCAGTTTGACCTCATTCCCCCCTGGCTTACGTATGCAGCAACTGGGGCACAGGGCACTCAAGCGACCCACTCGTGGCCATGGTAAATGGCTGTGGTGAGTGCTGGTGTCCACACTCGGGTCTAGCTGACCCCAAAGCAAGGACTTGCTCCACACCCCAAGCACCACTCTGCAACCTTCCGAGGGACCGGGTACAGCTCACCACCTGCCTGCAAATGACAGGACCCCAGGAGAACACTGTGCTCACCATAAGCAAGTCCCAGCTCATGGTGGCCTTCCTAGAGCAAGGGAACAATGGTCTTGTGTACTCCCAGTGTCCAGCCAGGGCCCACTTGTTTCCAGGTTGGTGATATGCACCCCAGAATGCCATCACAGGCCACCCTCGAACCCTCAGGCCCTGCACCACAGCAGCCAGGGACACTCCAGACTCACTTTGGCCTCCCCAGAGCGGGAGACTGTGCCATGTGGGCTGAAGGACCTTCCGTCTGTTAAGGGTAGCCAGCATTGGCTGGGTGCAGTAGCTCACACCTGTAATCCTAGCACTTTGGTAGGGTGAGGCAGGAAGATTGCTTGAGTTCAAGACCAGCCTGGGCAATATAGCGAGATCTCATCTCTACAAAAATACCAAAAATCAGCCAGACATGGTGATACACGCCTGTAGTCCCAGCTATTCAGGAAGCTGAGCCCAGGAGGTTGAGGCTGCAGTGAGCCATGATCATTCCACTGCACTCTAGCCTGTGCAACAGAGTGAGACCCTGACACACGCAAAAAAAACTTTTTTTTAAAGAGTGGTCGGCCGGGCTCGGTGGCTCAGCCTGTAATCCCAGCGCTTTGAGAGGCTGAGGTGAGTGGATCGCCCGACCCCGCAGGTTCGAGACCCACCTGGGCAACTTGGTGAGACATCGTCTCTACAATAAATCAAAAAATTAGCCGGGCGTGGTAGCACACACCTGTCCAGCTACTTGGAAGACTGAGGCAGAAGGATCGCTGGAGCCCAGCAGGTCGAGGCTGTGGTGGCCGGGAGCGTGCCACTGCCCTCTAGCCTGGGTGACAGAGTGAGACTCCAACTCAAAAAAAAAAAAAAATTTTTTTAAAGAGTGGCCGGCCAGGCTCAGTGGCTCATCCTATAATCCCAGCTTTGGGAGGCCGAGGTGAGTGGATTGCCTGAGCCCGCAGGTTCGAGACCCGCTTGGGCAACTTGATGAGCCCTTATCTCTACAATAAATCAAAGAATCAGCCGGGCGGGGTAGCGTGCGCCTGTAGTTCCAGCTACTTGGGAGACTGAGGCAGAAGGATCACCGGAGCCCAGCAGGTCAAGGTTGCAGTGGTCGGGAGTGGCCACTGCACTCCAGTCTGGGTGACAGAGTGAAACTCCAACTCAAATAAATAAATAAATAAATAAAGAGTGGCCAGCATGAGGACCTGGGACTCTGGGTTCCTGGGCCTGGCTTACCTTCCCTCCCACATCGTCCTCCTGATTTCTGGAGCTGGTGAGGGCACCCATGGAGCAGAGCACCCTGCCACACCCTGCCCCCAAGAACAGCACCACAGGGCTGAAGCCACAGGACTGCACGTGCCCTTTGTGCAGGGAGGTTGGAGGTACCAGACCCCACTTCCTCCAGACTGACCTTTGGGACCAGAAATGCTAGTAAACCCTGAGAGAGAAGGGTTCTTTCTGGTACTGCCCCTGAATGAGCAAGGCCACCCAGTCCTGTTTCCCAATAGGAGCCCCTGGAATGTTTACCCCCCAAGAGCTCAAGGGCCCCTGTTCCTTGGAGAACAGCCTGAGGCCCTTCCAGAACAAAGGACCACTGAACTGCCCCATCTTTCCTGTCCTAAGAGCCTGTCAGGGACAGATCCCATTTGAGGAGACCCCATGGCCTCACCAGAGAGCCCAGAGGCTTCCTGCTGTGAAGTTTATTGCTAGCCTTAGGAAGGGTGGAGGTCGTGGGTACTGATCTCTGCTTCAGGGGTCACTCTCTCCTAGGCCACAGCAGAAGGAGCCTACCCTTCCACCTTGCCCGGCACAGCTTCTACTGGCCTGGAGGCTAGTGCAGGTCTCTGGGCCACTGGGCCTTATGTCACCCAAGTCCCTGGTCCTGGACAGCTCAGCCATCCTGGGCCCAGCCCCAGGCCAGCAGGCAGGTCCCTCAAGAAGGAAGATGGCCGAGCTGCCCACCTGCGTGTATTCAGTTGGCTGCTTCAGAGGCTATGAGTACACAGAGGAAACCCCCCCCAACCCCAGGGTCCTCACCCTGTGACCCACATATCTTTGGCCCTGCTGCACTCCTCCCCGTGTCCCCAAAGGTATCATGTCCCCACACCAAGTTCCTGGCCAGGCTCTTCCCTGCACAGAGTGGCTCTACCAGGAAAATCTTACCAACAACCCCCAACACACACACACACACACACACACACACACACACTGTTTCGCTGTGCCATCCCTGCTCCACTCTCATGACTTGGAATCCCTACTCCTGGAGCAGAGACTGTTTTCCATCTCTGTATCTCCAGTGTCTAGCAAGGCCTGGTGGTGAAGACCTCAGGGCATGTTTGCAGAGGAAGTGGGAGGGAGGGAGACACTTAGTCTGGGAGGGAGGACTCTATTTTCCTGTTGTCAGTGCAGACATGTTGCTTTGGGTGCTCAGCCCAGCCTGCTAGGACTTCCAGGGCCATAAGGAAGCAGAGGTTACGCAGGGTGGTCACCTCCCTGAGCCTGGGTGCCCAATGGACTGGTCCCTCTCCTCCCATATGAACCAGTAGGTCCCAAGACAGGAGGGCAAAGGAGGAGGATTCTTGTTTTTGACTCGTCCCTTGTTGGACACAGGCTTCTCCAAGACCAACTGGGTCCTCTCTTTCCCCTCCTCTTCCCACCTCCCTCCAGCTCCTCCCCAGATCCAGCAGACCTTCCCTCCCATCTAACCCCTGCCTTGGGCACTGCTCTCCCCTGGCTAATGCTTCCCTAAGGATGTCTTCTGGTCAATTGGCCCAAGTGGTGGATGCCTTAAAGGTGGCATCCAAGGGTGACCCTGGGGCCAGGGACATGGTAACCCAGGACTGTCTTCTAGCACAGGACAAGAACACTGTCCAAGGAGCCAAACATACCTGGGGTGTCCACACCGGCTAATGAATTTCAAAAGAGATTGTAGTGAGCCAGTTGTGGGCCCAGACGGACCCCAAAGGAAGGGACCAGGCACAGCCAGAGTCAGACTAGGCTTCAGTCCTAGTCAGCCTGCTTCCAGCTGAGTGACCTGAGCCAGTCATGAACCTCTAGATGCCTCTGTGGTCTCAGTTGTACCCTGGGGTAATGGTTACTCCCTTGCAGGGTGAGTGACAACTGTCTGGGACCATCCTCCTGCAGCAGGCTCACGTGATCATGGCCACACAACAGCGGGGCCCGCTCCCTTGTCCCCTTCCCTCTATTTCCCCTCATCAAACCCCCATCACACCCCATCTATCCACGCGCCAGATTTGAGACTGAGACTCCCTCAGCAAAGTGGCAAGAAGCCAGGCAGGCCTAACTCAAGACCTTTCTCTCTCAGGCTGAAGGCGTGAAGGCTGAGCCCTTTGAGAATCACTCCGCCCTGGAGATTGCTGAACAGCTCACCCTGCTCGACCACCTTGTCTTCAGGAAGATTCCTTATGAGTAAGTGGGTGCAGGCACCAACCCTTCCTTGGGCACCATCTTTGGCAGTGTCCCACAAGCACTTGCAGTAGACTGACTTCCACAGCTTGAAACAAACACAATCAGGCTGGCAGGGAAGGGGGAGAAGCCCAGTCCCTGTTCCTGCCCCAGGTTGTATCCTTACCTATCAGCTGCACACGTACACTCTTCTAAAAGTATCTCTAACTCAGAGCTGCTATTCTGAAGGCTTAGAGAGTGCGCGTTCATGTGTATACGCACATGCACCTGTGAGAAAATGCACACACAGGCATGAGTGTGTGTGTGGGTGGGGCGTGTGCAGACCCGAGCCAACTTTGGGGGCAGGTCTAGATTTTGTAGATGCTCCAAGGCCTGATGTTACCTGCTCTGGCCTTAGTCAGTCAACCCTGGTGTTCATCGTAGTTATACTGCCTAAATTATCCTGTCCCTCTTTCTTCATCTAACAACATACTGATACACTATATATATATAACATGTAAATACCATTTTTAATGAATGCACAGTGTTCCCAATAGGCTATGATTAAGCCCCGAGGGTTTCAGTTTTCACTTTTATATCTAAAGCTGAGGTAAGCATCCTTGTAACCAACTATTTATCTGGATAGTCCCAGAATGGTCCCAGAATGGTCTCCCAAAATTGGAATCCTTGCTCCGAGGCTATGAATCATCATGAGGTTTTGACTGTACCCCTGCCCCAGCACTCCACTCCCATCCCAGAGTGGGCACCACCTCACCTAAATGGAGAGTATCTCCACTTTGGAAACCTGGCCATAGTGGCGGTCATTATTCCTGATACGCTCTCTCTAGGAGGAGAAGCAGAATGTGTTTTCAAACACAGTTCACCGCCCCTAGGCCCAGTCTGCCCCTGGGAATCTGCCCAGATCCCTGACCCAGTCACTTTGTCAAATCAGCAACCTGGCAGTCGGTCGCTTTCCATCAGCTCATCATCATTACCAGAAAACACTGCTGGCTTGGCTGCTGGCACACTCTCTTACTCTTTTTATCCACCCCCTCTTAATGGCCTCCTTGCCCCTGTATTGTGCAGACTGCAGAATGACTCAGATGCAAGTTCTCCCCATCAGAAAACAAGATCTATAACGAAACTTGGTTTGCTCACCACACTTCACAGTTTACGATGTGCCTTCCCATACCTTATCCCGTTCAGCCTCACAATAACTCTGTGAGGGAAGCACTGTTGCTCCTCCCATGAGGAAGCTGAGGCCCTGGAATATGAAGGGCTCGCCTGAAACCACACAGCTGCTACCAAGCAGAGATAGACTTGAGCCCAGTCTTCCTTCCCCTCCAAGACTGCAGAAAGTCGCTCCCCCAGAAATAACAACCTCAGAAAGCAGAGAAACCATGAAGCAGTGAAGTCAGCATGGCAGACCTAATCTCTTGCCGGGGTTTCCCCTTTCTTCCTCCAGGGAGTTCTTTGGACAAGGCTGGATGAAGCTGGAAAAGAATGAAAGGACCCCTTACATCATGAAGACTACCAAGCATTTCAATGATGTGAGTATGGGGCAGCAGCACCTTTCTTGCCTGGGATTTGCCCTGGCAGGACCCCCAGGAGGCTGGGTGGAGAGCGGGCTGCACAACGACCGGAGCCAGACCCCTGGGTCCTCTCCATCCCCACTCCTCCTCACCGTGTGGCCTTGGGCTGACTGCTTCACCTCAGCCTCAGGCCCTCCTCCTGTGAAATGGGGCCCTATGAAGAGTCGCTGGGACGACCCCATGAAGACACTCAGCTGGCATCGGCTCAGAGTGAACCCTCACTCAGGCCCAGTGATTACTAAGAGGGTACACCTTGAAGCAGGTTTTTGGTGAGTCTGCAGCAGAGAGTGTAGACAGAAATGAAGGCCTGGAAGGAAAGGAATGAAGACCTCTTGCTGTGCTTCTCATTTTTTAATCTCATCCTGCTATGGCCCAATCCAACATGTCGGCTGCTATCCCTCAAGGCCAATTAAAAGATGAGAGGCAGAGACTGGGAGGAAAGGGAATGCTTAATTTCTATAACCAGGTTATAGGAAGACAGGTTGACATCACTGCCCAAAACACCTGCTCCAGGCAACATAAATTCATTTCAGTATTTACACCCAAAATTTGTAGTCCTTTACCTATCCCAAGTTTGAAGCCTATGTGCAGTTTTAGCATAACTCAAGAGTTACATTAATAATTTTTGATACGTGACCACTGATGTGACACAGTCTTCTGGTCCTGTTGACATTTTAGATAACTTTTTTTTTTTCTGAGTTGGAGTCTCACTCTGTCGCCCAGTCTAGAGTGCAGTGGCATGCTCCTGGCCACACAGCCTCAACCTGCTAAGCTCAGGCTATCCTTCTGCCTCAGCCTTCCAAGTAATCAGAACTACAGGCACGTGCTACCATGCCGGGCTAATTTTTTTATTTATTGTAGAGACGAGGTCTCACAATGTTGCCCAGGCTGGTCTGTAACCCACGAGCTCAGGTAATCCTCTCGCCTCGACCTCCCAAAGTGCTGGGATTATAGGCCTAAGCCACAGTGCCTGGCCTAGAAATAAAATATATAAACTAAATAAAAGTTTTTATAATTAAAAAAAGAGATAGAGATAGCAGGCCACAGCGCTGGGTGGGACCAAGGCTGAGACTAAGCCAAGGACTCCTGAGTGTCCCTCACTGGGATCAGGATGGCCCCGTATCTGGATCCTCCAGCCCCTTCCTCACCCCTGTTTTCCTGGGACAGAGCTGTTGAGATGGGACCCACACTGGACCAGCAAAGTGGCCTAATGTCTGCTGCACGAAGGGTCTGACTGACTCTGATTAGGGTACTAAGTTCGGACAGATGCATCACACACCCCCAGCTCCCAGAACCCCTTCTCTGGGAAACAGGGAAACAGCAGAGAGCTGGGGGCGACAGATCCCAGAGTCTTCTGAGGCATGAGTCACGTCTGCAGAGAGCACCTGCAGAGTTCTTTATCAAAGTAGTAACAGCCCCCTGATGGGGTACCTCTCTCACGCCTAGCACCAAGCTTTATATGCATAAGAATCTCACTTAGCTGGGCTCAGTGGCTCAGCCTGTAATCCCGCGCTTTGGGATGCTAAAGTGAGTGGATTGCCTGAGCCCACGGGTTCGAGACCCGCCTGGGCAACTTGGCAAGACTTCATCTCTACAATAAATCAAAAAATTAGCCGG